TGGGGGAGCGAGAGTAGGAGAGGGAGGTGTAAACTTTGAGGGGAATCCATGTGGTCAGTAAAGACGGGGAAGAGGGAAAGAATCATCATGAAGACGAGCACAAAGGTTTCAATGTATGCCCAAGTAGACAGGAGAAAAACGAGAGGAGAAAAGAGATTTTTCCTCAAACATGCACTTTGCATAACAAGTTTTGTTTCCTGCGGTATGATTCCATGGTAAATTGGTGCTGGTAGCAAGATGCAGCGAGATTGCCATGTCTGTCTTGTGCTGAAAGTGTGAGCGCAGACCAACACCATGAATCGAGTCTACGAGTTCCCCAACGGTGTGAGGTACGAGGGAGAGGTTAACAGGCAGGGTCTTCCTGAGGGGCAAGGGACGATAGTCTACCCTGATGGATCCAACTACGAGGGAGAGTGGAAGAATGGGATGAAGGACGGGAGGGGGAGACAGGTGTTCACCGAGTCAGAGGAGTATGAAGGTGAGTGGAAGAATAACAAGAAGCACGGGGTTGGAACGTACGTGTTTGCGAATGGAGACGCCTACGTCAACGGCAATTACCACCAGGACAAGCGGCAGGGATTTGGCAAGTATGTTCATGCCAATGGAGTTGAGTACATCGGGAACTGGGAAGACGGGCAGCGATCAGGGCAGGGGGTAGAAACCTATCCCAACGGCGACAAGTATGACGGAGCATGGAGCTTTGACCTGAAACAGGGTTATGGGACCATGACCTATGCTGATGGAGGGAAGTATGTAGGGTTCTGGGACAAGGGAGTCAAGTGCGGAGCAGGAAAGTGCTTGCTCTCAGACGGGAGCAGGTACGAGGGAGAGTTCTTCGGCGACAGGAGGGACGGGAAGGGTGTGTACGTGTACAAGGATGGGTCGGTGTACCAGGGAGACTGGGTGAATGACCTGAGGCATGGGGAGGGGATCATCACATACCCCAACGGTGAGCGATACAGTGGGCAGTGGTCGCAGGGATACAGCGAAGGAGAGGGAGAGGCGTTCTATGCTGACGGCGGTCACTACATGGGAGAGTGGGAGAGAGGGAGGAGGCAGGGGCGCGGTATGTACACCTTTGCCAACCTCGACACCTACGATGGGGAGTGGGACAAGGACCTGGTTCATGGCAAAGGAGTGTACAACGCACATGGGAACGGGATCTACACGGGAGAGTTCAAGTACGGGCAGCGGGAGGGCTCGGGGACTTTAGTGCATGTCAACGGCGACGAGTTCACTGGTGAATGGTTCGAGGACAAGCCCAATGGTCGAGGAGTGTACAAGTCAGCCAAGGACGGCAGCACGTTCGTGGGTGACTGGAAGGATGGGAAGCGACATGGAACCGGCATCCTGGAGCTGATCGATGGATCCCCGTGCCGCGATGAGTGGTTCAGAGGCGTGCTCGCCGTTCGCTTCATGCCGAAACAAACTGAAGTGGATTAAAGCGATGGGCAGGAATGTTTTTTTTCTTTTTGCTGGGATTGTTTCATGTTAGTTTCTTGGTCTTTCTTTGATCTAGGTGTTCGAGGCGATCTCTGTGTTATCGTACATACATACCTCATTTTACACTGTTGAACAACATTACAGGTTGTCTCATGCTACATTCTTGCTACTCGCCTCTTGAGATTTCCACCAGTCATCCGACTCATTGCTGCAAGATGTGCACTGGAAGTGAATGCACGACAAATTTTCTAATGTGATTAAGTTCACATGTCACAGGAATGAAGCATCCATCACATCAAATCATCATCACATTGATGAGGACTGAACCCTCGGGATGGACATGTGTCAGTCACGGCGAACAAACAAACTAACACACAAGATTGCACCTTACTTGTACATGATCTAGAATCATACTTATACATGATCTCATATCTTACTTGTACATGATCTCGTATCATACTCTTACATGATCTCATAATCATACTCACGTATGATCTCACATCTCTACTGCTCCATATCCTTCGGTATCTTTTCTCATTGCGACATCTTGTTCATTCCATGCTGCTGCGACTGCTGCATGTTGTTGGCGGACATCCTAATCTGGGCATCAAGTATCAATAGGGGGTAGGGGTACTTTTTAAATCCCTAGTACCGGGTTATTTTCTACGTGCTTGCAACTCAAAGGAAGGGGTGGTAATCAAATTCTTGTGGGATCAGGGAATTTGACCTACTCACATGGGAATGCGTGGACGTGTCGAAAATGTTCGCGGGGGGGTAGGAGAGGAGAGAGGAGAGAGGAGGGAGGAGGGAGGAGAGAGGAGTGAGAGTTGTAGAATAGAGCAGGAAGGGGGGGCGGGTGGGGGGGGAGAGAGAGAGCGGGGAGAGGAGGAGACAAGACAAGAAGGACTACACTACAAGACAAAAGCAGTACACAGAGGAGGAGAGCAAGAGCCAGTGAGACGATACGAAGATAATCTTACCAGGTTTGATTTCAGGTCCGGAATACGTTTAGGTTGCCATGGGAAAACAATTCTGGTGAAACCTGGTAAAACTCTTCCTTCTCCCCCTCTTCCTCCCTTCACCTCCGTTCCATCTTGCATCCTCCCTCCTCCCTCCTCCCTCCTCCCTCCTTCTTTCTCATCCCTCCTCGATGGACTACATTCCACATTCAGCTGCTCTCCCGTCTCGGATCTTCGTTTTGTTCCTTCTGTGTAACCTTGCGATCTTGCTTACAACTTTCTTGTTCAGAAATCTGTTGAGAAGAAAGTAGCTAAAGGAAGGGGAGAAGGAGGGAAGACTAAGGGAGAACAGGCGAGAAGGAAGGGGCAGGAAGAGAGGAGCTAGGTCAAGGAGGAAGTAGGGGCAGAGCGCTGGACCGAGCAAGGCATGTCGGGATACATTGAGGTCAGCGACGAAGACAGGAGATGGGCAGCATCGTCATACTCGGAGGAGACCATCTTCAGAGGCCCATGCGGACCTGTCTTCAACATGCTTGACTGGCTGCTGGATCAGCTGAAGGAGCAGTCGTCCTCAAGGATCGCCGTCCTCCTGCTGGGGCTCCTGTTTCTCATCGGTCTGGGGAATACCATCATTGAGGACGAGAGGGTGCCGGTGCTGGTGAAGGGAGGAGAACAGTGTGCGGCGGAGGAGGACCTCCTGGACCAGGAGGGACACCGTTGCCGAGTGGAGGACAAGTTGGCCATTGGCTTCCTCAGCATGGAGCGCTGGGTGACATGCGCTGACTTCACGCGAGGAGGGAAGATACTGGCTGGCTCGCAAGACGACTCGGGGAATTTCTGGTATGACGTCAAAGACAGGCACAAGGTCGCGTTCTTCTACAGGTCCAGCCCTCCTGCTCCTTCCTTACCCTCCTTCCTGCTCCCCTGCCCCACTTGCTCCTTGTTGCTGCTCCTGCTCCTGCTCCTGCTCCTGCTCCTGCTCCTGCTCCTGCTCCTGCTCCTGCTCCTGCTCCGTGCCCCCTTCTCTCCTATACCGTACTCTTCCTCCTCCACCACCGCCTCCCCCCCTCTCCTCCTCCGTGCCCTCTCCTCCCTCTGCTGTGTCTTCCTCCTCCCCTCTTCGAGTCTCCCTCATGCTTCTTCAACTTCTTCTCTACTCGCTGACGAGTCAACAGCACCTGCAACCCGACGTGCGCGTCTGAGAGTGATCGCTACTTCGCGAAAGTTCCTTCATGCGATCATGGAATTTGCAAAGGAGGAATGTAGGACGAAAATACCCTCCCTCCCCCCTCTCCCCGTTCCCCTCTTCCCCTTCCCCCTCCTCGTCCTCCTCGTCCTCCTCGTCCTCCTCGTCCTCCTCGTCCTCCTCGTACTCCTCGTCCTCCTCCGGCTCTCCTTGCTCCTCCTCCCCCCGCTTCTCTTGCTCCTGCTCCACCTCCTACCAGACATTCTTGTCTCGCTGCTCCTGCTGCTCTCATGGTCTCAAGGACCCGGCCAGGTGCAAGGTGGGTGACAACAACGCTATCGCGTGGCTGGGGAGCAGGTGGACGGGAAACTTCTGGTCTGAACCTTCTGTGTGAGTCCAGCTGGTCTCTTGCAGATCCTCGGGCTGAGCTGGGGTCGTGCAGGTACAAATGCCAAGAGACTCCAAGCTCTCGTCCCGGGATAGAAGCGATCGAGGTGAGGAGGAGCGGGTGGAGGGAGAACGAAGCGAGTGTAGGAGGAGACGAGAACGCAGGATTGGAGGAGTTGAAGTAGGAGGAAAGGAGAAGAAGATGATGAAGAAGAAGAAAATGAGGAGGAGGAGGCGGAGGAGGAGGTCGTGGTTGTGGTAGAATGAAACTGACATGAGCACAGGCAGGCTCCGAGAACGGAAAGAAGATGGGGAAGGTGAAGGAGGGAGAATATTTTTATGATCCCACGAAAGCAGCGGTGAGGGGAGGGGAGGATGCAACAGAGGATTATCTTGTGGAGGAGGAGCAGGAGCAGGAGCAGGAGCAGGAGCAGGAGCAGAGACTTAGTGCTTCTGCAGGAAGTTCGGAGGTTCTACGGGGGATGTGCGGGCCCCTGTGCGTGCAACGACAAGTACGACGAGGAGACGAAGAGGTGAAGTGACTTTGACAAGCTGAGAACTTGTTTTTTCCCTGTTCACACTTGTTGACGACTTTCAAAGATGCTTCATCACCGATCAAGCTGTTCGAATATTCTTTGACCCCGCACCTAAGTAAGCCTCTGTCTCATTCTTCTCCTCGCGTCCTCTTTGCCCTTTCTACTGATCCTCCTCCTCCTCCTCCTCCTCTCCTCCTCATTCTCCTCCTCGTCCTCTCGTTCTCCTCCTTGCCCTCCTCCTTGCCCTCTCCTCGTCCTCTTTCTCCCGCTCTCTGACAAGTCATCGTCAAGCGCTCCAGGAGACGTGAAGGGAGCAAACCAAGAGACCGTGAACGTGATGAACGCCTACTGCAAGCAACTTGGAGGAGAAATTCAGATGATCAAGCGGCAGGTCAAAATCCCTCTCTTTCTTTCCTCTTTCTTTCCCTCCCACTCCTCCCTCCTCTCTTTCTCCCTACTCTACTCTGATCTGCTCTGTCCCTTCCTCCCCTGCTCCCACAGAGCCCTCGCCCCCGCCCCCACCCGGCCACCGTCACGCTTGCTCACTTGCCCCTTCCTCTTCCACCTCATCTTTCCCTCAGGGCGAACTCTCTGGAGATTTCTCGAGCATGTCCTACCTTCCCTCCGTCAAGCAGCATGTCATCCGCCTCTATCGCTCCTGCGCCCGACATGTTCCCTGCCCGGGCAAATAAACCACCGATGTATCCTCCTCCTCCTCATCTTCCTCCTCCTCCTCCTCTCTTCCTCCTCCTCCTCATCTACGTCTTATCGTCCTAGAGTTTGTCCCTGCACGCTTCCGGTTCTCTGCCGTCGTTGCTCCAGGAGGGAGGAGGAGGAGGAGGAAGGAGGAGGAGGAGATGAATCCTGGAGGGGAGGACAAGCGTACAGTGGTAGAAGATTGAGGGAGGAAAATGAGATGCTTGAGTTGGGGGACGAGGTAAGACAATTTCGAGAAGGTGGTGGTGGTGGAAGATGAGGAGGCGAAGGAGTAGGGAGAAGAAGGGGAGATCAGTTTCAAGCATGATGGTTTCTAGTTTACATACGATGACAAACAAAGTACAGGCACCTTCATCTCCTTCTCTTATCATCGTCACACATCATCATCATCATCAACATCATCATCATCTCCTCCCTACCTCCGTCTCCCCTTTACTCGTCCTCTTCGCTCCTACATCACATCCGAACTGATGGGATCTGCGAGAAAGAAAACCCCGGTTCTCCTCGCCATGCGTAGAAAGCGATGCGGGCGATGTAGAACCCTGGAACGAAACTAACGAGACCTGAGATGAGAAGAGCGAGGAACAGGGAGAGGCAAGGAGAGGAGAGGAGAGGAGAGGAGAGGAGAGGAGTGGAGAGGAGAGGAGAGGAGAGGAGAGGAGAGGAGAGGAGAGGAGAGGAGAGGAGAGGAGAGGAGAGGAGAGGAGAGGAGAGGAGGTTAGATTGGTAGTCAACATTGCATTCAAATTCACCAAGGGCGAGGAAAGTGAAAGCTGGCTGCTTCCATCCTTGACCGGGGAAGAAATAATCTGGCAAGGCACAACAATGAGAAGGGCATGGCAAACAACAAGATCAAGTCAGAGAAGGAAGCAGAAATTCCACCGATTCACATCTCGTGCAAGCAGAAATCAGCAAGCAGCTCCCAGTGTTCAGACATGGTACAAGTTGCCCCGAGAACAGAGTCCAAAGAGACATCCGACCAACTCCCCGACACGAGACACTTCGCTGACACCCATAAGATCTCAAAGTACAGGAAGCCTCGACAAACTAAGAACTCAAGCAAGCATCTATAAGCATTGAACAACTCATCAAAACTGCTGCTGCTGCTGCTGCTGCTGCTCCTCCTCCTCCTCCTCCTCCTTTTCATGCTCATGCTTCAACCTGCATCAATCGCTCCTGTCGTGATAAGAATGCAGACGATCAACAGTCCTGTTCCCACCAGGAACAGCATGACTGCCAACACGATCGAGCTTATGGAGCTGTTAGCTTGCGACGCAGCATCAGCAAATTCTTACTGCGTTGGAGGGCCCTGCCTCTGTGAAATGAGACGAGCTCGATCCGTATGCTCCTCCTGCTCCTCCGCATCCCATGTATCGCCCAACCCCATCCTGTTCACCGCCAATCATGTTTGTCAGGTCGCAAGCAGAACATAGTTTGTTTCTGTTCATGAAACCCTTTATGCGGGGTTGTTCCCGCGCTTTTCCGTCCTCTCTTCGTCTCACTCTGACTGTAGATTGTTCTCTTCCTCTCACTTGCTACTATCTCGCAGCATCTCTCTCTCTCTCTCTCTCTCTCTCGCCTACCTGCTCCTTGACCCATGTCACTCCCGCAACAAACCACAGCAAACATCATGATACAGCAACATGGTACATTTCTGCTGCTTTCTCGGTACTTTTCTCGCATTCATCCTTAATTCAATCTTCATACTAATGAGATGCACAATTCTCTCTTCTCCCTTCCCTCTCCTCCCATTGCGCCAGGTCGATCATCTTGGCGAAGAGAAACATTCATCAGGGCAGCCCAATGTTTCGCACCACTAGTCCTCGTCCTGCCATTACCGTACGATAAACACGACATCTTCATCTTCTTCCACCTCCACGTATTCTATTCAAATCTCTCCGCTAACCATCTTCATGCCTCCTTTAATCATCCTGCTTTCAACTTCGCAATGAAACTTTTGAACATACCATCCGCTCCAAGCCTTCCTCTTCCTCAACTTCCTTCAGCCGTCTATGTCATCATCATCCTCATCTCTATCCACTCATCTTTGTCCTCCTGCTCCTGCTCCTGCTCCTCCCCTCCCGCTCCTCCCTCCCCGCCCTTGCTGGCATTCCTTTCCACCATACGCCGGGTCCACGGCAGGAACAAAGATCTCTTGATTCTGGCTGTTATTTTCCGCCAGGGTCAGAGCTTGACATGAATTACATATGACTGCACTTGAGAAAACTTCAAGCTTTGATAACAAGGCAGTCACTCGCCTATCAGAGTTTTGCTCTCCAAATCTGAACAAAGTCAAACAATTTCCCAAAAGTTTCATGAAATATTCAATTTTTACCACAAAATGATTTCATCATTTACTACTACTATTATTAGTTTTTGTCAAAACATCGGGGCAGCGATTCCTGTCTGCGAAACGTTTCGGCTGACCTGTTTGCGACTGCCCATGCGCGGGACGAGGGAAGGAGGAGCAGGCGAGGAAGTACGGCACGAGAGGAGAGGAAGGAGAGGAAGGAGATCAAGAAGAGGCAGGGGACGAAGGAGGAACGAAGGAGGGGGAGGTAAAGCATTGAAAGCGACACAAGCGAAAACGGTGACGGCGAGGCTAGGATAGCAGGAAATCGCCGGGGAAGCGAGACCACAATGGAGTACTGCCACTGCTGATCGTGAGCCGACATAGTCTTGTATCATTGGGTGTAGAGCAGCTGCGTGACAACCCCCCATTGGCGAGTATGACGGAGGTCGTGAGGATTTCAGAGGAGGCAGGGAAGGAGTATGGGATGGTGGAGCTGTTGAAGAAGTGGAAGCTACCAGATCAATATCACAGCAAGATGTCGGAGAGGTGGAGATGTAAAATCGCCCCGACGGCCAGGAGCGAGGAGGAGATAAAGCAACACCTGCTGGATGGATCGCCGGTGCTCGTGGATCCTAGGTACGGGAAGGCAGCTTGCGATCAGGTGGGAGGAGACTGCCTAGACTTCCTGGTCAACGACGAGACGAGAAACAAGTTTCCACGGCCGAAGATCGCGTTTGTAGCGGGTTGGGGAAGGCCAGGTAACCATCCCGGTAGCTGGGAGTTCAGAGTCGGTTGAATCCTCCTTCCCGCTGCAGGAACCATCCTAGCAGACGACGAGGAGCTCAGAGTGGTAGAATCGTTCGAGCAGGTGTAATATCCATCAATGCGTCGATGCAGCTTCTGATGATGACCCTCCTCCTCCAACCTCTGTCCCTATCCCTGTATGGCCCCTGATCCCTGTCCGTCCGTCCGTCCGTCCGTCCCTTTCCCTCCCTCCCTCCCTCCCTCCCTTCCTCTCCCTTTTTCCCGACAGGTTCTCAGCTCAGACAAGCCGCTGAATCTCCAGATGTTCCACAGGGAAGACGATGGGGCACCCAGGATCCCCAAGCTCCCTCAGGCTCTTCAGTGGCCGCTGCCGGAGCTGCTAGGAGCCGGGCCGACAGGAGGACGGGAAGGAGGAGGAGAAGACGGAGGAGCAGGGGAGGGGGGAGGAGAAGGCGGGTGGAGGGCACGGCATACCTGCGACATGGCGACGCGGCTAAGCGCTAAGGGAGCGCTGACCTGGTGGCACCTTGACGACGGAGGGGAGTTCGTGTTTCAAGTGGGGCTGCCATTGAGGGAGGACAGGAAGATGGAAGGCCCGGTGCTGCTGGGACCGAACGGGAAGCCGGTGGTGAAGTTGTTCATCTTTGCTGAGAAGGATGCGTACGACTTCATCATACAAGACATCGAGAGCAACAAGACGAGTAGGTTCAATCACCTGCATCTCTTCGACACCCCCTCCTCCTGCCTGCCTGACAAGGTTCGTACGCTCGCACGATGTAGATGGGGGAGATGCATACACTGTTTGCTCGTCAATGTGTTGGACAAGCTTGTATCTTATGCTCGCCTCGCTTGTTTGATGGGCTTCTTCCATGGTTGACTGTCACGAACTGTTGGCAGAGTTGTAGCAGCATAGAGGAGGAGGATGATAACGATGCTCTGCCCACTTTCTGGATCGCAGCGTTGGAAGCAGGGGGAAGCCCGCTCCTGTCCCCCCCCAACGTCCCGCACCTGGTCATCACGCTGCAGGATTGTGTTATGGTGGAGGAGCGGGCAATCAGTATCTTCTTCCTAGACGAGGTCTCTTGCCACGTCACTACTCGCCCCCTCCCTCCTCCCTCCTGCTGCCACTTGTTCGTTGATATGTGTCATCTGTCGTGTTGGATACATGCTTCACAGTGGGTGGTTCCTAGTGTAGAACTCGCATGCGATCTGAGAGTCGTGTTGCCTTCCTTGTGAGGATTCATGAGATGATTGTTGTCCAGGTCATTTACTTCCTGGAGAAAGCTTCCAAGGATTGGGACCAGCGCCCTATTATCTATCCTTTCATCAACGAGACAATGAAGGACGACGACGAGGTGAGAACAGAAGCAAGCTCAAGGGATTATGTTCAATGTCTGTGCGCAGATAAATCGACATGTCATCGCGGTGCTCGAGAGGGTTGCGAGTGAGACCAACGATGACAGGGTAAGTACCAGCGTTGCGAGGGCGAACTAGAGCGGGTTGGTGGTTGGATCAGGACAGGAGACAGGAGGGAAGGGGCGGGGGCAAGAGTTGAGAGGGAATGACTGCTGCTTTCAAGGTTCTGATCCGCATAAGAGAGTCTTTGCGATCTTTGACGAGGGGGATGGGCGAGCACGTTGCAATGAGTCAAGGTAGGGGGAAGACTGAACTGACTGACTGAATAACTGACTGAATCTCCTTCCTCACTCGCTGCTGGCTTGCAGAGACCCTCGCAAGAGTGAACAAGCTGGTTCACAACACCCGCCTTTCCTCCTTGCCCCATGATCGCCGTTCGGCGATGCAGGTAAAGTTCGCACGCTGCCTTGACCCTGCGTGCTGCTTCGATCCCATCCTGGTCCTCTCCGTCACCTCCTCTTCCTCCCAGACCCGCACGTTCTCACTTGTCTTGATCTCCAGGCGAAGGTCTTCGAGTCCTTCAAGTCCAAAGCGCCAAGGGGCGTTACCCTCTTGCCGAATAAGAAGTGATCCCTCCCTGACATGCTCTTTCTGTTTCCTCTTTCTTTCTAGATCTGCCTTGTCCTGCTTGCCCCTCCCTTCTCTCCTCTCCTCTCCTCTCCTCTCCTCTCCTCTCCTCTCCTCTCCTCTCCTCTCCTCTCCTCTCCTCTCCCCCCCCCCTCGCTCTTTTCCTCTCTCTTCAGAATCCCTTCATCTCTCCTCTACTCTGCCCTCACGCGTGCGCTCCCTTCTGATTCTCCTTCCAGGTGGGCGGCGCATGTGCATGTCGGGGGCTGCCCATGGTGGGGATGTATCCGACAGACAAAGGAGGAGGTCCTGTTGCTCCTGCTCCTCTTCATGCCCCCTTTTCCTCTGTCGTCAACCTTCCATGCTTTCTTGACCCTCAGCCCCTTTCCCGCTCTCATCTCCCAGGGCTCTACCCCTTCCCATGCTCTGACGCCAAGTTGATTCGCAGGCATTAAAGGACAGAAAGGAGATGCTTGCAGCAAGGAAGGAAGGCACAGAGGCCTTTCGGCAGGTCAGCTTCCTCCTCCTCCCTTCCATCCTCCTCCTCCTTCCTTCCGCCAGCGCTCCTCTCCTCCCTCTTACCATCTCCCTTCAGTTCCTTCAGGACATGAAACGAAGGGGTCCCGGATCCGTCTGATCGCGAATCTTGTCCTTTTAATGACTGATGAGAAGCAAAGGCAAACCCGAGCAAACAAAGGAGGGGAGGATAAACCCTACAAACCCGCCTCAATAAAATACTAGGAAACGGAGGAAGCAGCGAAAACCGCTACTCCAACCACGCAAGCGACGGCATGCACGACAAGCAGGGGAACAAGGATCAGGACAAAGAGCAGTAGAAGGCTCCTGCGAGGAGGACGGCAAGACCCATGCGAGAGCGATACTGCCGAAACAGACGAGCACGCAAACGATCAGTTCTTTTGAAAAGTTCTTTTTGTTTTTTTTTTGAGTTTCTTTTTTTGAAAGAAAAAGCTGGTAAGTATGTCTTTACAAGGGGAATGTGTCTTGAGATATTGAGGACTGACATGTTTCAGTCAATAAGACATGTTCGAGCAAGCGATGAAGGGCAAGAGGAAAAGGAGAAGCAAGGAGAGGAGAGGAGAGGAGAGGAGAGGAGAGGAGAGGAGAGGAGAGGAGAGGAGAGGAGAGGAGAGGAGAGGAGAGGAGAGGAGAGGAGACAGACAAGATGTAGATATGTAAACAGATGGAGCAATAGATAAGTAGACAGGTAAACAAGTAGACAGGTAAACAGGTACATCGGCTTTTGTCATGATGAGTTCGAAGTAGCATCAGCAGAACCAAGAAGCTCCGCGACTACTTAGAATATTAGATCAAAGGCTGAAACTCGTCTGACATGGTATGGTACGGCAGAACTATCCGGGTGATGACCAGGACGCGACTAGCATGCAAGCCATGCAAGGATTCGAGGAGTAAGTGTGATAACTTCCAACCTTGCACGAGGTGAGAGTGTGGAAAGAAGCTTAGCTTGCTTCTGCTGCTGTGTGCACATGTTGATATCACTCTTATCCATTATCACAACACAAACATGACAGTTGTGAAAAATCCCCTTTCGCAAGTCCAGTCCTTCTCTTCTTCGTAGACAACAAGCATTTCTAGCCTTGTCAAGCCCTGCTTGACCTTGTGTAGCATTCTTATCTCTTCCATGCTTGTTTCCAGTGGCGGATTCGTATCCTAAGATTCGGCACATGTGCGATGAGTGACATGTTACGGTGTACCACCAGATGTTTGGCCAGCGACATCGCGGACCAATGCATCAGGGTCAGGGAGGCAAGCGAGTTCAAGCAGAGGGGCTCGATTGCTTGCATTCCTTGCCGGCGGTCAAAGGTAAAGTGCGACGAGGGTCGCCCGTGCTTGCGCTGCAAGCGCCAGCACAAGGAAGCAAATTGCACCTACGAAGATCCCGAGTTCATCCCGTCGCACATGTTGGCATTGACACAAAGGGAGGACGAGGCTGTGGATGGCCGGTGTCTAGAAGCTGTACATGCCCCATCGGATGACACTTTGCCGACGAGCCGGCCAGTTCGCATGCAGGAGCTGCAGGTAGAGAGGCCGATCGACTTCTGGATCCGCAGCCTCTCCTTCGATAGACCGTCCCTGCTGCGCGAGCATATGAACTCCATGGGCTGGCCGGACCGAGTGCTGGCCCGACATTGGGAGTTCGGCTTCAGCTCCAAGGAGCTGATGAACATCTTCGTCTCGCTTCCTCCTTACCTGCAGCAGGTGACGCGACGAGCGCTGCATGCCGTCGAGATTATCATGGCGGACAAGATGGAGAAGAAAGCTCGGGCTCCGCAAGCGAAGCTGCTGATGGAGAGCGAGACGGCATCGGAGCATGACCTGGAGCTTGAAAGGAGTTTGTATCGGCAGCAGAGCTTCGGGGTGATCAAGCAGCATCTGCATCCATCTACGGGGAAGCGGGCGCATGTGTACATATCGGATATCCTGTGCAAAATCATCGGGCTACATGCGGAGGAGGCGCTGGCGAGGATCGCGAGCAGGGAGCTGTCGCTGATCACGACGGAGTTCAACTACTTGTGCTACGTAATGTTCGGGACCTGGTTGTATGCGACGAGCCCGGGGCGACCGCTGAAACTCTACACGCGCATCCGAGATCTAGGGAGCAGCGGGGATACAGGCTGCGTGGTGACGAGGTTTGTGCAGCAGCAGGAGTTCGACTGCCATGGGCGGGTGAGGTCGATGAAGACGTACATGCTGCCGGTGAGACTTGCATGGGGGAGGGGGAAGGAGAGAGAGGAGGGAGGCAGGGAGGCTGACTGGGAAGCTGCAGCTGGACAAGGAAGGGCTGGAGACCTCGGCGGAGCCGCCGGGGAGTGCCGCTGCTCTGTTTGAAAAGCACATGAGAGGAGGGAAGGACTACAAGACTTGGATGAACGACTTCGAGTCCGACATGTTCGCGGTGAGCAGGAGAGGCTGGCTGCTTGCTGTAGCGACTGACGGTGGGAGGGAGCAGGGGGAGACGATCTTGGGGATGCAGAAGTCGAAGCAGGGGATGGAGCGGCTGGAGGCGCTTGGGAGGGACCTGGAGCGGATGTACCATCCGTTTGTGGAGCATGCAGAGAGGATCCTGCACCGGGAAGGACAGTTCAATGGAATGTTTTGATCGGATAACTTGCTAAGTTCAACTCTGCCAAGTCTGGTTAGTTCGCCGCTCAGTACGGACTTTTGAAGGCTACCGCCCGTGTGTGCGGCCTGTGACTCGTCCGAGGTCTTCTCAGCCGCATGACCGTTCAAGGGTTATTAGTATGCAGTGCTGAGCAGTGGCGCCGCCCCGTGACTGCCGCCCGGCCGGGCCGCCGGCAGGCTACCGCGGCTCCGCTAGTAGGCTAGTACGGTCAGTACGGTATGCCTCTCAGTGGGCCCCGGGGCCTGCCGGAGTCCGACGGTGGCGCGCCGGGTCACGGAGTCCCGCCCCGTGACTTCCCGGTCCCGGGCCAGACCGTATGGTCACCCGAGTGCCTGGACTCGGGAGGGCACTGATGGCAGGATCCTCGCTGGTCCACCCGGGCGGCGGGACGCGGCCCCGCAAGGCGGCGCCCGGCCCGGCGGCGGCGCCGGGACTGTTACAGTGTTGACCGTTGGCACCGGCCCGGTTCCGAATAACTAGGCCTACTGAGGAGCCTGTCCCCGCCTTTCCTCCGAGTCGGATACCTGAGGTATAGTAGTGAAAAGGCTTGCAAGGGAACCACAGGGGTGGGGGGTGGTTTGAGAGGGGTGGGGGGTAACGGCATACTGGAGGAAGGGTCCTAGGATCATGATTCTTACGGCAGTCCTCATCTAGGACAAGGGGTGGTAGAGAGAATGAAATCTGGGGTGGTAGATGGGTGCAACTCGCTGAGCATTGAAATCAGGGGGTGGGTGGTGAATGGAAGGCTTGAAGACCTCTACTCTTGAGCACATCGAAGGGGGTACAGCCTCGTGAGAGGGGGGTAGTAGGGTCATTCGAGGACCATAGCGATGAATTGGGGTTGACTATTCCGTGGGGTGGGGGTTGTATGGGCAGATTCCGATGATGGTTGCTAGACAGAAGGGGTACTTTCCCATATTCTAATATATTAAACATAGGGTAGGGTTATGTGAGTTGATCGGATTTGTGGATGTAAATGGGTAGGGTGGGTAGGGGATGGAAGGATTTCAAGTTTGTGGGGTAGGGTGAAAAATGGACCACCCGTTCTTGACACAAAGTGTTCGGAGCAAGTAGGGGTAGTACATAGTGGATTGGTGACATATTTGGGTGGGTAGTATGAGATTGGGGTAGGGGTCATAGGGATACAGTAGGATCGGGGCCTGTGTTTTTACTCAGGAGGGTGGGTAGGTACGAATGAGCTCGATGCAACGCCTGGAGTAGAAGACGGGTGGTTGTTAGGGTGAAGGCAGAAGGGGAAGAGGGGGTAGGGGTATTTTCAGGAGGGGTTCTGTCCTAAAAAGTCGACTTTTATTATTTTTAGTATAGTTTTAATCGCGAGTTTGCGATGGCAAGTGCGATGCAACAGGAGATAGGGGAAGTAGAGGAGGGGGGGGCGAAGGAGGGGGCGAAAGACTTCAAGTCGAAGCAAGAGATCAAATCATACTAGCAAATGATGCGAGCAGATGAGTCAGAAAGAAGCGAACATGCTGAGAAACTTTGAGTTTGTGTGCGAGGTTCGAATGGCGAAGGATGAGGGATGTTCTAGGAAAACACACTTCAAGATATGCACTGGGTGATTCTGTAGAAAATTCGAGGAAGGAAATCAAAAATCGAAACCAAAGGATGAATGTATACACCGCAAAAACAACAAGGAAACGGTCCAAACTAGAGCATGGAAGAAGCATGTTTGAAACAGAGGTACAAATTTGTTTCTGGAATGGTAGAGGAGAGATTTGAAGGAGTTCAGAAAAGACAAGGTGTTGCAGTGAAAAAAGTAAACGAAAACACGCTTCCGCATACGTTTGATAGACAAGAAAAGGTGAAATCAGGACAAGTGTGCGCCTAACATGAGCCAAAAGATAGAACGTGAACATTTATAATCGAGCAGTATGGTTTTGTTCGTTTTTTTTAATTGGAATTGTTGATATTTCCTTCAGGTTCGCCTGCATCTATGTATTGCTTTGTTAAAGCCTGCAATCGAAGACGATTCTCATGAAATGAATCATATTTCATCTTGCATCGGACATGAAATGACGTCGCAGACCCAACGCTACTGAATACCTCTGTGAAGTGTGCATTTTCTATCGAGATGTCATGTTTGAATTGTCACTCGCAAGAAGAAATATATGAAGGTGAGTCAAGATGGATCAAAGAAAGACGACAGAGGCTGGATGGCTCAAAAAAGCCCCTGTCTGGCTCAAAATCGTGCGAAGCTGCGAAGCAAGATGTGATCCTACTTACGAAATCTGAACATGTATCTGACAGTTTCTGCTCAACAGGTTCGACATCTTGATGACACCTTCGGAGTTTGCATATCTCCGGGCGGCATGCGCAGCGCTGCCTTTAGCCTCGGAGCGCTGGAGCAGCTTTCGCAATCTGGTAGTACTGCTTTCTAGCATGAAGTTGAATGAGCATTCAACATTCAGTTGAACGCTCATTCAACTGCTACATTGACATCCTGATCTTGCACATCGAGCTTCATCAAGATTTTGAATGTTTGCATGCTGTCTGAACCTGTGTCGCAGGTCTCTTCGATCGTGTTGACTACATCAGCTGTGCTGCTGGCGGGTCATGCGTGGTGGCATCCTTACTGTCCAACGCCCTTGCGTTGTCTAGAAGGAGCGATGGGGATGCGCGTTTCATAGGACAAGCGGCAGGAGGGCAAGAAGGCTTGCCAGATTCTCTCAAGAAGAAGTCGCGAGCGAGCAAACTCTCTCAAATCTCCCGGTTCTCCGCCTCAGAGTTCATTGAAAGGAGCGTCGAGCAGATCAAACTGATCTGCCAGGACAAGTCCCCAGGAATATATCTTCTTGCTGCCCAGAAGGTATACATCCGATCGCCTTCTGACAGATCCTCTTGACTCTCCTTCATGGCAGGCGTTGATGCTCTCAGTCTCAGTGATCGTCACGCCCATGATCGCGCTAGCGGCTTGTTTCTTCATCGCAGCATCATTGAGCGACGTCCTTGGGGATCCACTCCGCTCGTTGCTCGTGAAGGGCTTCCGCCCCTTCCAGGTGCAAAACAGGAGGAAACCTCTCCCTGGTCTGACTCAGGTCATGCAGCTTGCAGCTGTGTTTGTCTTCTTCGGTCCTGTGTGGGTGGGCCTGTGCTGTGTGGCGACCTCGTGGATGGGCAACGATGACGGGGGAGGAGCGAGCGGCTCGAATTGCAGATGTCTCTGTAGGTACTTAAGTGCTGCCTCGTGTGTCAAAGGTCTTTCCTCTAGTTTCCTTCTCCTTTTCACCTGACGCCCTGCTGATCGCCCAGGAGGAATCAGCAAGGCACCCTTGTGGAGTCAGGTGGCGGCCTACCTTGCAACGAGCATGGCCGGATTGTTTGTGGTCATTATCTTCATGCTACTGGAGGAGAGGTGAGATAGGAGGGGGGAGCGCAGTGTTGCGAGAGCTGTAAAGAAAGTTCTGAATCAAGGGACCTGTGCATGCAAAGGGCAGTGTGGGGATGTGCATGATTGGAGGGCGAGGAAACGAGCAGAAGAAAGGAGTGAAGGAGTTTCCTGAGACCGTTTCCTCCTTCCAGGCTGCTGAAGCATACAATTATCGATGAAGTCATCCTAGTGATCATATGGGGCCTGTGGACAGCAATGATGACCAAGACAACTCTGTTCCATTCTTGTAACGAGAGGACAAGGCAAGCTCCAATTGCTCGATACCTTCACATGTACCTCGTCCTAACTCCCCTCTGCCATCATTGCTGTTCTCCTCCTGACAGACAGCTCTGACAGGGACAAGCAAATGCTCTACGGCCTGCAGGTTGCGATGATTGTTGCAGCTCTCTGGCTCATCTCCAGGGGATGTGTCGAACTGATCTTTCATCGGAGGAGTGGTATCCCTACCTTCCTGAATTTGCTTCCTCCGCTGCTACCTTGAAACACTTCCCTCTCTTACCTTTCCTTGTCTCACAGCATCCTCTCCCTGCTAGCCTGCTGAACTCTGTCTTTCCAGCTTCGAGAGCATACGAGGTGACCTGCTCCTGGCTGCTCGTCCTCATCGCTGTCCGCGACCTGCTGGTCTCATGCATTCACATCCTCCTGCGGGTGCGCATGCGGAGGAACTTCTTGGCGTTCAGCTGCGAGGAGCACAAGGAGCAGGCGATGAGAGGAGTGTTTGAGAACATCGGGGACATCTACTACAACATAGAGTCTCAGATGGCCTCCTCCGCTGCCTCCTCCGCCTCCTCTGCCTCCTCCTCGCTCCGATCCTTATCTTCCAAAACCTTCCACAGCGAGCTTATCGAGCACCTTGCCAAGTTGATGCGGTCATGGAGGACGCTGACACCGAAAGAGCAGATCGATCCCTTCTTGCTTGAACAGACGCCTGACTGCTCCATGCCCTACGTCCTCGTCACAGTTTCTGCTTCCGGCCCTCTCTGTCACGATGACGGCTTCCTCAAGTCTCCCCTCCAGATCTGCGGAGATGAACCGCTCCCAGCTCTTGACCCGGCATACTCCTCCTCCTCCTCCTCCTCCTTTCCCTTCCTTCTCAGCCCCAAGTTCTGTGGCTCGAGCCGAGCTGGTTACTTTGCGACCCCAGCGTCGCTGACCATTTCAGAGACGCTCTACCTCTCATCGGGGAGAGAATTCTTCAACGACTCTCGAGGCCGAATGAAGGGTCCAAGTGGATCCCAGCTGGCATGCAGCTCGACGGGCATCACGGGCTGTGTCTGTGGGCAGATCTGGTTGCAAGCAGGAGGATGGCTGCAGCTGCCGGCCAGGGAGGCGATGAAGGCGCAAGGACGAGGCGCCGGCAGCCCCTCACGTGGCTCTGCACATCATCGTGACATCCTTATCTCGGGAAGTCCCACGGTAAGCAGAATGTCAGGACAGCAGGCAGGCAGGCAGGCAGGCAGGCAGGCAGGCAGGCAGGCAGGCAGGCAGGCAGGCAGGCAGGCAGGCAGGCAGGCAGGCAGGCAGGCAGGCAGGCAGAGAAGGATGAGAGAGGCCTTGTAGTCGAAGTTAGACTGACTTGTTGTCAGCCCAACTTCTTTCTCGACACGAATGGAAATCGACCGATTGTAAGGGAGGAGATCTCACTGCGAGCTCGATGTCTTCAGTTCCTTGCCAACCAGCTCAACTCCAAACGCTTCCAATGCTCCCTGCTCTTGCTCTCCATCAGCACCCTGGTAAGCATCCTCCACCCCGCTCTCCTCCTCGTGGTCGTCACCATCGCCCTCATCGTCGTGGTTGTTAGCCTCCTCCCCGAAGGACGGACGCTCTTGCAGCACAGCTACCTCCTCTTGCTCCACAAGCTGCTGCGGGACCTCTTCCTTGGCCGTCCGACCTCCTCCCTCCTCTTCGTATCTGACGAGGATCAGGTGCGCGAGTGCGAGCGGCTCTTGCTCGCTGCTGCTCGTCCCCGGGCTCCTCCTGACTTTGTGCAGGTCGATCAGCTGGGCCTTTTCGAGCTCTTGAGGAGGAGATGCTCCCTTATAGTCGTCTTGGACTCAACTGTCGACGAGAAGTTTGGCGCCTCTCCCCCGGGTGACGTTGAGCAGGCGGACCCATGCTGGGCCTTCCTCAAGGTGGTGGAGCGTGCTCGCAGAGAGCTGGGCTGTGCTTTCCTGCCTCCTCGGGACCACGAGGGAGACATCTGGACCGTCGTCCGGGACTTCCACAGGAACCCGCATGCGCGGACTTTGCGGCTCAAGGTGCACTACATGAGCCTGGCCGCAGCTGGAGGGGCTTCGCCTACCAGCCTGTCGGATGTTTCCAGGAGCTTGCAGATGAAGGTAGAGGAAGAGAAGCAGAGCAGCAAGGGCAAGGACGTGGTGGTTAAAGAGGGATACATCATCCTCCTCAAGAGCCGTTGGACGCCAGCAGACTCAGACCTGCTCCCCCAAGAACAAGCTTTCAACCGCCCGAGCTGCACAAGAATCAACCCCATCCTGCTGCCAGGAGGAGGAGCCTACAGGAGAAGGATGGACAGCCAGCAGAAGCTGGAAGAACTCATGCAGAGGATCAAGATTGTATACGAGCAGGCGAAGCAGGGATGCAGGCGAATGCTGCTGGGCAACTCCTGGAGTCCAGAGGGATCAGTCTTCGGCGAAGCAAACTTCGATGCCTTGTTCAAGCTTGGAAAGAGAGCCACTGCTTCCATCGTCGATGATCTCCAGGAGCAACTTGTAGTATCCAAGAGGTCGACGAGCCCGCAGCAGGAGGAAGGGTGGGAGAAAGGATCGACTTCGACATCGTCCGTCCCCTTCACTCTGTCTGAGGAGGCTGGAGTACGGAATCTCTCAGGATTCAGCTTTGTTGAGGTGCCGGAAGAAGAGGCTGTCAAGGATGGTGTAGTCCAGGCATGACAGAGGGAGGAATGATATAGGGAAGACGAAGCAGGGTCAAGTAGGGAAACTTTGTACATGTATAAGAGACATACAGAATGAAACTACAGATATGATACATGAAAGAATAAACTGAAGCACGGCAGCCCTTACAGCATCTGAGGCACCAAGTGTGGGTACAGAATCTCTCTTTTCTCTCGCCTTCTGGTCGGTGAGCTCCCCCCCTTCTTGAGCGACTTCTTGGAGACAGTCAGCTGAGGCTTCAAAGCTGACGTGGACCCCCTAGTAGACCACAGGCGCCTTCTAATCATCCTCCAAATACATCGCTTGAGATCCCGCAAGTCCGCTACATGCATCTGCAACATGGTTGTCATACCCCCCGTCCCTTCCCTGGCCATCCAACAAGTAAGACTCACCTTGTCCTTGTCAAGGCCCCACATTAGGTTCTTGATCCAGTCCTCTGATTCGACATCTACTTCGCCTTCCAGCGACGATCCAACTCGCAGCAAAGTTAGACCTGCATCCTTTACCACGGCTCCGACGTTACGGTTACGCACAAACGTGAGCTTCTCGCTGTCCTCAAGAAGGCTGGTGGATCTCGGTGAGGCTGGAGGTGACAAGCCGACAATCAATGACTGGGGACGTATCGCTGAAGTGACAGGAGCGACAACGTCAGATTCATCTGAACGAACAGACGAATCTGGTGTAATGTCGGAGACTGCCGATTGCCTGTCCATGGCGCTCTCAACGTGTGCACTGCTATCAAGATTTTCTTCTGCGCAGAAGCTTCGAGATTCTCCGCACAGCTTGGAGGACAATCCTTGCTCAAGTAATGCAGCTATGAATTTATCGCAGGGACCCTTCAAGAAGTAATCGAACACACCATCCTGGTGTGGGTAGGTATTAGACCATATGTATGCTGAGATTGCCTTTACCTCGCTGCCGGGAACAGCATCAACATTGATGAAAATTGATGGAATATTGCGTAAAATCATCGGTATGTATGAAACTGGAGCCACGGACAACGAAGTTCCCATCACCTATCGACCATGTGAGGAATATGCGGCATATTAAGAAGCATTATACAATGAGGAGATCAGCTCTGCGTGCATCGCTTTGAAAGGTCTCGTGAAATTCTTCAGGCAAAGGCTCATTGAAGAATGTTATGCATGGTTTGATCACTCCACCACACTGCAACATGCAGGTAAGTTCACAGACGTTGAAAGTCTCAACCCCGACTCTTGTACCTGTTGCGATCTTCGGCATCGCGGAACCTCTCCAGCTAATATCTCGGATTTGATTTCCCGACCATCAATCTATAAAGATGTCATCGGCTAACAGTTCGAGGTCTTGAAAGACCTCAACGCCACAACGAGTGCATTTGGCTTTCGCAAATGAACCATGACAATACACAACTCGTTCAATACCTGCGCTCCTACGAGGCAATCAGCTTGCAAGAAACATTTCGTCAAGAACAAGGGCTTACCTCTCCATGGTATCAATATTCTGCGTATAGTCACGGAGTAAGGTGCCCGCCTCCTCAAGCTTTTTGATGAACAAATGAGACAGGCTCGCTTTGTGGTTGTCAGGGTAGATCCTTTGAGCGACTTTGTAGAATGGCCTAGGGTCCTCTTTGAAATAATTGATATCCATCACAGCATGTTGATAGGGAAGATTGAACTCTCTTGCAACAGTACTGTAAAATTGACCATCTCCTCGGAACCTGGCGAGCATCAGGAAACGAAGCACATTCAAAGGATGCTCACGTAGGAATGCCGCAGCTCGCACTGATACCTGCACCCGTCACGACTAGAATATTCTTGGCAGATTGGATGGTCTTAACGACTTCATCGAGATTGCAAGGCAGCTCAAGAGTCTTGGTCGTGAATTGTCTGGCTCTGCCGCCATTTTGAATGTCATCATTCGAAACTTGCTCGGTGGAATCGTTCAAAACGTCTTGATCAGAGATCCGATCCATAAACCCTGAAGTTTGTCCATCAGAATCGTTGGCATTCGCGTAACAGAAAGCATTTGTGTCGTGATCGATCCTTTGCTCAAAGGACACCGCAGGCAACTCAACAGGTTGCAAATGCGAGCCACCTACGTTGGCTGCGTTAATAAATTCACAACTCTGCCGCACGTCCAAATGATCGTGCGAAACTTCGCCTGTTGCAAAGGCAACCAACATAGACAGAAGAATCAAAGTCTTTCCCATAAGCTGTGGAAATCCCTCATGCCATAAAGGCCTGAGCTTCATTGAACTGTGCATCTTGAAATTACGCATGTGGGTTCTCGTGAGTAGTTGAAGCCAGACCGTCGGAGAAATAGCTGGCAAGCCTAAAAGCTTTCAACATCAAGAAACTATTAGAATGCATCGACTCAAGCCAGCTGCCTCTGATCCACAAAACTCCTTAAAGGTTTGACTCATCTCCACAGCAATGAAGCCTGTTTCCTTGTCTCTGCATACCGGTGCCTGTTTTTCATGGTCAGCGTGAGTGACAAGGTGTTTTGTTGCAGAGTAAAGGATCTCTTTTCACGTCTACAATTCGTTCGGACATGAGCCTGTCCATGGACCATCAAGTTTACCCGAACGACCCCCTGCTACATCACCCAACCTTCCTCAACCTCTGCTTGACCTACTTGAATGCAACCTCTGCTTGACCTACTTGGATGCATCGTAAAGATGATGAGTCCATATTCCTCTATTCGTCCATTCTGAGTTTTTGGATTCCTATGTTGCCGCATACACTCTCAACAAAGCTGACGATCCTTTCTACAACGCAACTCATTGAAGCCTGCTGCACCGACTAGCTTCGGTTTCGTGCTTTCATTTATCCTCCTACACTTCGATTTTCATCACGGACCGTATTCCATCATATCCTCATGTCCAAAAATGATCAGCCCCAGCTGCCATTACATCCGTTCTCTCTTGCCAGATCGCTACCTGTCCTCTTGTAGCCATACCGTGCCTAAGTTCTTGAATGTCCTCCTCTTCCTCGAGTGGCACGCACGTACTTATTGGTCCCTCCCTCCCTCCTATTCATTCTTTTCCTCCTTGAATCCAACCTCAGATGCTACTCATTCCATCCTCCCTGCCATATCACCACTTCTCCTCCCTTTCCACTTTCGCGCGCTCCCTGGCATTGTCACTCAGTAGCGTCCTCTCGAACACCAACCATGTACCCCACCCATTTATTGTCCACCCCCTACTTGTCCAAAATTTGATTCATTACCCCTCATTTTTACCAAAAATTATCAGTAAATAGTAGGGGTACTTGTTCATGTTATCAAATAGTACCCTTCCTTTCCCATACATGTGGCATTCCTCACCCCCCCAGTTCGATGTACAAGGGACCCTGGACCCCTAACATCCTATTGTATGTACCCTACCAGCACTCCCTTCTATCCCCACCCCTTTCATTCACTACCCCACCTCCCTGGCTCCTCCCGACATTCTCGCCCTTCGGCACTAACCCCTACCCTACATTTGCCCTTGAAAGGACCCGTATGTGTCAGTGAAATGAGTGAGAGTACACTATTAGCAACACCCAAGTTCACCACCCCACCCTCTCGAGCCCCCCTGAACCCCCACTGGACACACGCAATTGATGGGTCGTATTTTGTTTGTAGGTTCTGTGGTCTGCATTGTGCTAGGTCCTACAGCAATATGAAATCCCTAGGACCCTCACCCTATTCATGACCTAGCAGTTTACCACTGCATTTCACCCACCCCGGTCATTCTGTCAATCTCGAAGCTATTGACAACCTGGGTAGTCGTATCACCCCACCCCCTTTTTGTGAGGACAAATTTAGGGCCCGTTCGGGTCACCGACGGGGTGAAATGAACTGACCCTCCTCATCGATCTGTGGGGAGCCCCTCGGGTACGGTCATCGAACCCACCCTACAGTCCAATTGAGATCATATTGTATCAAAGATAGGACCATGTCAATAGGGCTCTTAGGACTTCGACTATGCACCCCCCACTCTATACCCCTTCGATTTACTACCGTACCCACACGAGTATCTCACTACCCCACCCCTACCTGACTCTTCCGGTCAAGACGAAGTTTGTACAAAGGTTTCTTTTTAAAACAGATATAAATTAGATTTCTATCGCATATGCAATTCACGGGTACAATACTAAAATCAATAAGTGTGATTCTATATCTTTATAAGACATGATCGTGATATATAGTAAAGATTTGTAAACAATTAAATTACTCACGTCTTTTACGTATGTGAAATTGTTTGCAAAGGTACAAAATGACTGTACCGTGTATGAGTTGTATGTGAGTTGATAAAACATAAGTTTTAAATAGTTGCTACCGACCGGACTGTCGAATCGGAAGGGTAGGGTAGTCCACAAAGCTGAACACCGGTCCTCTTGACTATGAATCGACCTATTCGATATGGTGGTGTTTTCGAACAGCTGAGGTTTGTACCACCTTTCCAGGGTGGGGTAGTAGCCCGCGCTCTGGTCAAACAGCATGCGGCGAGCGAGCGGGGGGGAGGGGGAGGAAGCAAGGACTGCTCAGGACGAAGACAGCAAGAAGAGTGAAGACAAGAAAGATAAAGAGATCATTCAGAGGGAAGCATCAGATTCTGGCACAAAGACCAAAGGATTATCGATCGCAAACCGAAAGGAGGAATCGCTGTGTGCGATATGCATGGAGGGCTCCAGAGGAGACGACGCATGCTTAAAATGCGAAAAATGTAGTGTTCAAGTGCACAAGGTTGATTATTATCATTTGTTGTTGTCGTTTAAGTTTAATGGACGACTCTTTTTGATAGGACTGTGTTGGAGTCAGTGATGTACATGACAACTGGGTCTGTGAGGTGTGCAGTGCAAGAATCCAAGAAGCGGTAAGAGAACATACAAAGACGGGAATCTGAGTGTCCAGGATAGATGCCATCAGCTTGATGTTGGACATGCTGCCTTGCCATGACTCTGAGTGCCTCAATGTGTGCATGCGCAATGATGAATGTCAAGGCTTGTCTGTAGCCATTGACAACATGATGGTGTGTATGATTGTTTCTTGGGATGGACATGTGGCAAATACAGACTCATGGAGTTGACATGACGAGTGTCTTTGATCGAAATGTTGTCATATAGCCATTTACTTGTTACAATTTATAGGCGTGCATGTTCTGTCCCATTTCAGGTGGTTTGCTATCAAAGGCTATCAACGGTGACAAGACAAGGCAAGGAATGATTTACTCTGAAATGTGAGTGACTATAGTGTCAAGCAGTTGGGCACATCCTTTGTGTGATATCATATTCTACGACATGATTGATGTATCCGGTGATGATTCGTTCGATTTCAAGCAGTCGTTCGACACCGCGAGACACCAAGTGACTGATGTTGGAACTCTGGGGTGTGAGACTTACTTTCATGATCACGTAGGTCTGTGAAATCTGCAAAGAGTCAAGGGGTGCTTGTGTCAAGTGTTCTATTCCCGAGTGCCTGTCAACCTTTCATGTTGGCTGTGCGTTGAAAAGTACAAGGCAATCAAGGCAATGTCTCGGATTGTCAGCCAACAACTCGCGAGTCAAGCGGATAATTCTTTGTCAGAAGCATATCTCCAAACACCTTGAAGGTAATTCATGCTTTATGTTTCGACAACTGGTAAGGTTCACAAAGATCCCATATGCCACATATGCAAGTCGAAGAAGAAGTCATCAAACCCCGCCGAAGCGTTGAAGAAGTGCGAAAACAGGGTATCTGCATGCTAGGTTATGGTTTTACCAGGAATATTCACTTAGAACAGGCAGGGAAATGTTGGAAATCGTTTCACACTAGCTGTAAGCTTCCCTTTCATGTCAGGCCAGATGGTTTGTGCCTCTTCATTGTGAAATAGCAGTTTGACGCCATAAGTAGACTCCGAGCAAAACCTTTGCCTCGACTGCTCGTTGTTGTCATCCAAGATTCCCTGGGGAATATTGGTAATTGCAGATTGCAAAAGTTTCAGAAGATGCTGGGCTGATCGCACTACCATAGGCTACCGAGGATATTTTCTGCCCGGAGTGCAATTTACAATTTTCGTCGCTGCACGCTCTATACATTCATATATCAACAAGCCTTGCTTGCAAGATCAATGCTGCCGTTCCAAAGGAACACCTTGTCAAGAGCGACTCGATCAATGTACGAATTCTCAAGCGATCAAGGCAAATTTGGAGTCTTTTCTGCATTCAATGTGACTGACGTTGAGTTTTAGGTATGCTTCGCACGACTCGAACGCCAACGAGATTACAACGGAGAAAAACCACAAGAAGCGAAAGATTGACGACAGGCTCGTTACCATTAAACATTTGCAAAGCAAAGACTGATAAGACGGTTTCAGGGGCTCGCAAGGCTCTGGTGTTTGCAGATTGTGCAAGAAAAACATTTCAGCACAGGATGAAGTGCTGATTTGTCGTAGTAGCTCTGGTGGTTGTGGAATGGCATGGCACGCACGATGCTCGACAGAACAACATTCCAAAACTGGAGATTGGATGTGTGCAGGTTGTCAGAAAAAAGTGATGGACGTAGATAGTCCAATTTCAAAGGGAGAAACCCATGGTGATGCAATCAAACAACTGAAAAAACTATGAGTCTGAAATTGTTTATTAGAATCTGAGAGCACGTCTGACAGTGCTGGACAGAACAAAACAGATAACAATGCAACCATAGGAGAGGGCATTGTTATCAGTGGAGGAAGAGTCATTATGCAGGGTGGCAACGCCACTCAGGACAATGCAGCTGTTTGCGTGTACTGCTCTCGTTCTTTCATATCTCCTCATGCCCTGGACGTACATCTCTCAAGAAATCAGGTGATACTTGCAGCCATTGCAATCATCCATGACATATTCCATTCCAGTCATGTCGACTCGAAAACGAAGCTCGAAAATCAAAGACCAAAACAAGTCCTATTGCTTCGCCGCCACCGAAAGCTGCTGTTGAAAAGAAGCAAGTAACTGTTGCACGAAACATCAGTCCAATGGATCACTCCGAGATATTCTTATTAGCGTAATGAGAATGCCAGAAGCTGAGATCTTCAAAAATGTCAATTCCTTGCGAAAAGAATTCAAGAGACCTCCATCTGATGTAAGGTCAAGCCAAAGATCTGATGGAATTGCTGAAGTATTCTTTCAGGGACAACCTTTGGATCTCAATGATCTCTCTACTATCCTGCGAAAGATTTGCAGCAATGAGTACAAGATCGTGAACAACGCTCGCGATGACATCTTGAGGGTGTGGAACACGACCTTACGGTGCAATGGGGCGACGTCGTCTCTTTATCTCAAGGCAAAGAAATTGGCCAAAGAATTTGATTCAAAATTCGAATGTGAGATGGACATGGTACGAGGGCTTGGTGGCAGGGCAGACTTGAGCTTTTTTGAGCATGGGGCAAGATGGTGTGTTCTCGATTTCAAGGTTCTTCGCTGCTTGACATTCAGTGGCAGGATCGGGCAAGAAGTTAAAGTATATTGGCCAGAGGAACATAGGAGAATCAAGGCTCTGATAGACGATTATGACCAAGTTGACCCAAATACGCATCTGTATCACCTCTTGTATGAGGACGAAAATGAACAGGTATTTAGGGCCATGATCTCGACTTGATTCCTGTCTTGACGCGCGATCTCCAGTGGGCAGTGCTCCCTCACAAGAATATTGAGCTAGTTGGATGGGTGACACCAGAGGAGGAAAGATTTATCTCTTCCCAGGGACTCCGAATTATTTCCCCGAGCGGCGTCGTTGGCAATAAGGTGATTGTCGGATCCTTGAAGACGTGCATTTCTGTACATAAGACAGAAGATGCAAAGCTCGCCATGTCACTGACCTGGTTGACTCTTCAGGAAAATACCAAACGGAAGGCCCATGAACTCGACGTTGTGGCGGAGGCTAAAAAGGTAACCTATGACACACGTGATTGAAACCAAGCTCATTCGAAAGAAGGATTCACCAAGTATTGATTGCCCGTCGTTCAAAGAAGATCAAGAAGTTGAAATGTGTTCAAGAACCCTTGGGTCCAATGATCCCAAAACATATCGGAAAGGAAAAGTCACGCGAATCAATGGTGATGGAAGTTACGACATAGTGCTGTATGATGGGAAGTTGATTGAGAAAAATGTTCCCGATGATTGCCTGAAAGCTCCAGAGGGAAAGATAGGGCATCAAGAACTGCTTCAACTGGTCCAAGTAGGGTCAAAACCAATATGATTGTCGAAATACCTTAAAATGTTTGGCAGGAATTGCGACGAAAAGCTCAGTATGATTTCTTTGACAACCCTGTTGATGAAAATCACGTTCCGGGTTATTATCATCCAAACCCGGCCGCAAGGCAGCGAGGCATGACGTCGTGGCATACTCAAGTAAGTCGTGTTATCGCAAAGCTTCGCATGCCATACACTGATCATGGTCGACAGAGCATGTGCTTTAGATGGATGGAAAAGAAAGCAAGCCGCAAGCAGTATTCTTCGATCGCAAGCGTAAGATGATCTTTCGAAGAGATGCGTTGCTTGACATTTCTGCGCAAGATTGAATTCGACTTCAATTTGATAATAACCAATGCTGTAATTTACAATAATCATAATCATCCGATTAATCGAGAGGCAAGGAAGCTTTTTCATGCAGCAAAATCTGTATTTTCAAAATGGTCGAAGAAAGCAGGAGGATATTCGTGCAAGTCGTGTTCTGGAGAAAGCAAAGCAGACGATCCACTGCTGATTTGTGACTTTTGCTGTCAATCTGTACATCAGATTTGTTTTCTCAAACCAGGAACCAAGGCACTAGTGTTGTGGAGTCAAGAGATCCTTCATCCCCTTCGAGGCGATCTAGCTTTCTTTTGCTCTGACGACTGTCAAAAGCAATTCCGATCAACGTGTGGAAAATTTCGCTTCCCGTCAACTTCTGTTCTGAGCTCTAGCACCGAGACTATGTTCCCTCCCAGCAAAGGGGTACCAGGAATCGATGGTCTTGAAAACTCGCTGGAAAACTTGAGGGCCACACCGAACGGCAATCAAATCCGCGGAAATGGGCCTTCAGATGAAGCAACGGCATCAAAGAGCGTTAACGGAAAGAGTGCAAACAATCCTGATCAAAGTGAAAATTCCAAGGTAAAAGGGACAATGCTGAATCAACAAGAGGTGCGGGAAAAGTTAGCAAACAACAGGAATACAACAGGGGTGCTTTCTGCAAAAGCTATCCCAGTGAACAATCCTATTGCAATTGCCAACTATGGGATCAAGGCTACCAACATAGCAAAGCAAAATTTGAGCATTGGTATAATGCCGCAAGTTGGCAATGTGATGAAATTGAACAATCAGTCTAGTCCAAAACCGAACGAGCCTTACCTGTCAGCCAAACTTCCCGGCAATAAGGACTTAGAGAAAGCTCAACAAGCCAAATACCATGCATCAATAAGAAATCTCCAGGTTTCTTTGCGTGATTTCGGCCTCATATATGTTTTGAGAGTTCGTTGGCAGGATGCATTCCGGAAGGAGAAAGATATTCCTCTCTATCTTTTTGATGAAGTCAGATACATTTAAATTTTCTTCTCGTGCTCATCTGGCCATAGGTGAAAAAAGTCTCTTTTGAGTATGAAAAAGCGGTTTATGCCTCTTCAATACGGCCGTACCCTCATTTTCCTTCGTCTCAACTGAATTCTACTTCGGTACGGGGATTTTGAATGATCGTTTCGTTTATGATAGATCTCTGCAGTTTCAAATCAGGATTCGTCTTATCCGGGATACTCTGTCTCTAGTGAATCAGCTATCTAACGCGTGGAACAACGAAAAGAAAGTCCTCAACCGATGTAAAGATGTCGAAAGGGCTTTGGAAGATGCTCTCAAGGTATCTTGCTCCCTACTGCTGCCTCCCTCTGAACAAGTTTCGCAGGATGTGAAAGATCCCCCAGAGGAGCTTCTCCGAGCTGCTGAAAGAGCCTGTGAGGAGTATGACAGGGCGATATCAGCAACAAGCATCCTTAGAGAAAAGTTCCTATCGCTCAGCACGCTTGTCTAACTTGTACATTGCAATAGATCCCATTGAACTCTCATTGATGGCACTTGGAAACCGTTGCTGGGGTCGAGCTGTGCACTTTGTTGAATCAGTCTACGAGTCCACAGACGACAACCCGAGCGCCTGGTTGATTTCTTGCTCGACCTGTCGGGGGTATGACGTCGTCAGTTGCAAGCACGGGAAGTGTGGAGCTGTCAAGTGCCACCTTCTTCAGCTCTTCGGGGTCGACAGCCTCGGCGATCTTGGAGAGCAGCTAGAGATGGAGGGAGTCAGGGCAAGAAGCAGGCACATGGAAGAGACCTCAGGGTCCTCAAGGTCTTCATCGAGCTCGATCTCCTCTTCATTGCGATGCCCCGGCTCGACTGTTTCGGTTTCTTTTTTCACTTCCTGCTGTGACATCCAACGCGTCAGAAATCAGCTCCTGCTGACTGGCCCGAGCGGTTTACCTGAGAGTCTCCCCTCCCTGCCCTAACGTCTCTCCTCCCCCGCCCTCTCCCTCTCCAGCTCTGGTTTCCTCCCCTTCCTCGCTTGTCGAAGTGCCTCGCGGACTCCGAGTAAGGGTGCGCCCTCTTCTTCACGTAGGGGATGGTCTCAACCAAGCTTGCTGCTCCTCCTGCAGATTGATTCACACAAGCAGAGGAGGCGGAGGAGCGACCGCAAGGGCAAGCGAGGGAGAGCGAGAGAAAGAAATGGCGATGGAGGAGGGTAGCAAGAGATGGAGGGAAGGAAAGTTGGAGTGAGGGAGGAACAAACCCGTTGAGGCAGCGATCGTATCCTCGAACACTTCTTGCATGCTGACAGGATGTGGGATGGTGGGCATATCTGCCGCCTTGCTCTTGAGCATGACGAGGATGGTGGGATGCTCGATGACAATCTGCAACATGAGAATCAGAGGGCAGAGACGAGGCCTAGAACAAGACTTTGTGCTTGAGGGCCTCTGCGATTGTCGAGTCGATGGATAGCTCGTAGTACTTCACGTCGTTGGCCTGCCGGAGGAAGAAGGTGAGATAAGAGGCAGAGGGAGGAAGAGAGAGAAAGAGGGCGAGGAAGAAGAGGGAGAGGGAGAGGAGGGACAGGGAGAGGGAGAGGAAGAGGAGGGAGAGGGAGAGGGCGAGGAGGGAGAGGGAGAGGGAGAGGAAGAGGAGGGAGAGGGAGAGCGAGAGGAGGGAGAGGGAGAGCTGCAGACCTTGGAAGGCTCGACCTTGATGAAAAGAGAAAGGTTGTCCAAATCCATGGATTGGAAGGCTTGAAGTTTGCATCGAACGGAGGCCTCATGTGTACATGAAACGTCGAAATACTTCGAGAGGATCTACGGGATACAGCACGTTATATCACGGGATGCAAGGGGGGACAGAGCAAGGGGTCTCACATCTCTCAGGGATGTCGAGTCGGGGACTCGATCTTCAGTGATGGTCAGAGGCTCGTCGAGGTCGAAGACGAGCTCGAGCTTCCACAGCATCAGCTTCCTCTGGTGACAGTAGCTGGAGGTGTTGTCCTTCCTCCGCTTGAAGGACGAGGGCATGACAATCATGTTCACTCCTCGCCACCTTGCGTAGCGAGAGATCTGCTGGAGGTGCTGGGGTACCTTGCTCTTCACGTAGAGCTTTTCCTTGTAACCTTCTCTGTGCGCGTTGTCTGCTATCCTTTCTGCGTCCATCAAGAACTGGAAATCGTTGCGCATGTCGGAGTCTGTAAACTCAGTCAGGTTCTTGTACTCCGCCACGTCCCGTCTCCCACTGCTCAGATGAAGTCACATGGAAGCATGTTGAAAGAGGAGGCTCGCCTGCAAGAGAACTTCGCCTTGTGCTCCTTCACACAGGCTAGCGAGCAAGTCTTCTTCGAGCACCCTGGACAGGTGTACTTGGCCTCAGCCTTGCAACACATCTCGCAGCTAATGGCGGTCTTGTGGCCCTCCAACGTTTCCTCTTCAGAGCTTTGATCTCCTTCGCTCGCCTCCTTCTCTCCTTCCGACATTCTCTGCAAGAAGACATCGTTACACCGCACGTATACACAACTTAAGTCCAATGAAGTTCCCGAAACCTCTACCCTCCTGTCCGGCTCCCCTCCGAAACTCCAGGAATCCTTCCTGCCTCTGACACAAACCAAGAACCCTAACCAAGAACCCTCACAGACTCCTCGAGCTTCTTGACCTTCCATGATCAACATCAGTGGATCGTGGCATGCACTTCTCATGTTCTAGTCTTCATACCCAGCCTTGATCCATAGTCCAAAGTCTATCTCCTATGTTCGTTTCAATGAAAACTTTGTTCATGCTGTCGCATATCTGGACGTGATCGATTGTGTGCCTCGTCCTGTTTCTTCTATTGCATGCTTCATTGCCTTCCTTTTGCCTGAGCCCCATTGCTCTCACCCTCCTTTTCGTTTCTTCATGCTGCTTCATTTCCTCCTCTCCTCTCCTCTCTCCTCTCCTCTCCTCTCCTCTCCTCTCCTCTCCTCTCCTCTCCTCTTCTTATCTCTCCTCTTCTTCCCATCCTCCCCTCCTCTCCTCTCCTCTCCTCTCCTCTCCTCTCCTCTCCTCTCCTCTCCTCTCCTCTCCTCTGATTTTCTGCTTGCGAAATCATTGCGCCTATGGGCTCTTGAACTGACATCACCCTACCCTACCATCCTACTTGAATGATCAAAATGCAGTGAAGGGTGGGGTAGTTGCACGTGCCAACGGAGGTCCCGGAGTCCGGTGGCGGCCCGGCGCCGGGGCGGCCCTCGCGGCGGAGTGAGTGACTCCGGGGGTCTGGAAGGGCACTGAGCGGCTTGCCCGAGTCCGAGCGGCCGCCGCGCCCCCGGGCCTGCGACCGATGAGACTCGGAGGTGAGACTTGGACACAATCGGGCCCAGAGGCTCCCGCCGAACGCACTTTGCCATGATCTGGCACTCAGTGACAGATTACTATGATAGCCGGCAGTGCCCGGCCCGGGCACCGTTGAAGCGGCTAGTACCGGCCCGCCGGGGTCAGTGACGGTGAGGATCTGTCACTCTCAAGACAACAAACTAAATTCATAACAGGTGAACTTAACATTCCTTGATCAGACTCAGTGACGACCTTCACCTGCCGCGGATTTTCCACCGTCGTCGGACTCGCCGAATGGAAGGCCCATGCAAGTCTCACCGGAAGCATTTACGTCTTCATCGATCTCACCCGCGCCATGTCAGTCTGTCACCCCCCGAAGCTTCACGGGTTGCAACGTGAAGGCTACAGCGAATGTTCAAGTCACCTCGGCTGGATCACACGTAGAGGTGTAGTGTAGTGATGTCGAGTTTACTAGCGATGCTGGATCAGCGTGGAATAGCGCATGAGGAGAGGACAGACCCTTCTAGCTGAACAGGCTGACCCTTATACAGGCTAAGGGACTCGGACTAGGGGTAGATCGATGGAGGAAGCGGGGGTGTCCTCTGCTCTCCCTCCTTAGATGTGGAACATCCCATCAGCACTTCGAGAAGGAACCTTGCTCTCTCGTAGGGAAGAGATCCCCGTCCTCTTAGCTTGAAAGCACCACAGGCACATTCACGGTTCCAGCTACAGAGACCTCCAGAGGGGTCCTTTTCAGCAGATTCACACTGGGGTAGAGTATCCAGGTGTATCCAGGAGAAGCCAGTATCAAACACGAGTACGAGACAGCCAACTGTCCTTTCTTTCCAATCAACCTTTGTCTGACTCGAGCTCGGTTCCTATGAGCCCTGACACTGTCGAACTCCTCCTGCTGCGCAAACCTCGTCACCACGCAGCCTGTATCCCCGTTGCTCCCTAGATCTCGGATGCGCGTGTAGAGGTTCAGCGGACTGCTCGCGATCCTTGCCAGCGCCTCCTCCGCATGTAGCCCTAGTATCCTGCATGCCGTATCCGATATGTACACATGCGCCCGCTTCCCTTTAGATGGATGCAGATGCTGCTTAATCACCGCGAAGCTCTGCTGCCCGCAGAACGCCTTCTCAAGCTCCAGGTCTTGCTCCGATACCGTCTCGCTCTCCATCAGCAGCTTGACATCTCACGGCAATTCCTGCTGTGACTTGAAGAAGCGCCGGAAAGTAGAGGTTGAGAGCCAAGGCAGGAGGGCTGAAGGGAAGGTTAAGGGTTTTAGAGAGGAAGAGGAAGGAGGGCAGGAGGAAGGTGAGGAGGGGGAGAGAGAGGAGAGAGGGAGGAGGAGGAGGACTACTCAGCACAGTGACACAGGTGGAGGAGGCTGGGGGGAAGGGGATGGTCGGAGCGATTGATGCGGCTGCGGTGTAGGCGGTAGATGGGCTGAGAACTGGGAACTTGCAAACTTCATTGCAAGTACCGGTCCTTTTGACCAGATAGAGCTTCAAATCATGAGGGTAAGGTAGTGCATCATGTCAGTCCAATAGAAACTTGAAATCGCATTCCGTCCTGTTCCCCCAGCCTCCTCAAGTACCGGTCCTTTTGACCAGGGAGAGCTTGAAATCATCAGGGTAAGGTAGCGCATCAACCTCAGTGAGACGACCACCCCTATTTCTGTGGGGTTCATCACCCGTGTTACATGCGCCGCCGGGCCCGGGGACCGAGCCGGCAACTTTCGGGTACCCACCCCTTTAGGATCCTTAAAACTTTCAATATTACTGGAAGAAATTCCAATCCGACTTGAATCGCATTCCGTCCTGGTACCCCAGCCTCCTCCACCTGTGTCACTGTGCAGAGTAGTCCTCCCCCCCCCCTCCTCTGAGCCTGAGCAAGCACATCTGGCTGGTAAGATAAACACCAGAGGAAGTGGGAGGGGGTAAGGGAGGAAGGGAAAAGGGAGGGAGGGGAGGGGAGGGGGACTGAGAGTGAGCAAGGTGGGAGGGAGGAGGAGGAGGAGGAGGGGGAGGCAGAGGAGAGAGAGAATATGCGTGTGCCTGTGAGAAAAGAGCGAGAGGGAGGTGAAGGGAGAGAGTGAGAGAGAAGAAAAGCAGGGAGAACTCAGAGACAGAGAGCAACTTCATGCTGCACACGTGAAGCAGGGCCTTTTCCCTGCGTTGAGCCACAGCTCTTCACCAGCTCCTGACGCTGTACACTCCTACTCAACGACTCGAGGCTGCTCCCCATTCACGTCTCGATACGATACAAGAAGTAGAGACCTAGAGGTCAAGGTCCAGCCCTGCCTCTCTTTCATAACGCGCGGCTGTTGTGGTGTATATCACTGCTAAGTCCCCCATCTTGAGTTGAGAGCCACCCAGGAGTAGATATCACATGAGCTGCGAGGGGCTGCGAACGCTGACGATGGTAGGGGCTCTGATAGAGCCGACATAAGGCGTGGAGGAGAGGCAGAAAACAAGCACCAGACCGTGTGGGTTGCAGCCTGCCTCTCCTGACACTCGTTCCGCAGGCTGATTGCTCATGACAAGGACCCAGCTGGCCTGTAAGCCCTGCAAGGATGCCCGACTCAAGTGCGACAACTTCCAGCCTTGCACCAGGTGAGCATCGGGTAGAGACTCTCCATCAGCGCTCGTAGGCATGGGACTGCTTGCGTTGGGTGCTGGTGAGGGCTGAGGCTGTCTTTGTGACTGCATGTGCGTACTGCCTGAGACTCTCCTTTGCCGCCAGATGCGTTGCGTCCAACATGGCATACCTCTGCATCCGAGTCCGAGATCAGCACATTCCCAGGAAGCGAAGCTCCGTCGCGTGCTCGTCCTGCAAGCGATCCAAGCTCAAGTGCGATGAGAACCGTCCATGCTCCCGCTGCAAGCGACTGCACAAGGAAGCAAGCTGCGTCGACGAGGAGCTGCAGCTCATACCGTTGCAGTTCAACGATGTTGAGGAGGAGATCCAAGACGTCCAGCAGCTCTCTCTCCCTCCTGACCATCCCGCCCGCTCGCAGCAGCTGCAGGTAGAGAGGCCGATCGACTTCTGGATACGCAGCCTCTCCTTCGACAGGCCGTCCCTGCTGCGCGAGCGGATGAACTCCATGGGCTGGCCGGACCGAGTGCTGGCCCGACATTGGGAGTTCGGCTTCAGCTCCAAGGAGCTGATGAACATCTTCGTCTCGCTTCCTCCTTACCTGCAGCAGGTGACGCGACGAGCTCTGCATGCGATCGAGATCATCATGGCGGACAAGATGGAGAAGAAAGCTCGGACTCCGCAAGCGAAGCTGCTGATGGAGAACGAGACGGTATCGGAACAAGACCTGGAGCTTGAAAGGAGTTTGTATCGGCAGCAGAGCTTCGCGGTGATCAAGCAGCATCTGCATCCATCTACAGGGAAGCGGGCGCATGTGTACATATCGGATACGGCATGCAGGATACTAGGGCTACATGCGGAGGAGGCGCTGGCGAGGATCGCGAACAGGGAGCTGTCGCTGGCGACGACGGAGTTCGAATATTTGTGCTACGTGATGTTGGGAACCTGGTTGTATGCGACCAGCCCGGGGCGTCCGCTGAACCTCTACATGCGCATCCGAGATCTAGGGAGCAACGGGGATACAGGCTGCGTGGTGACGAGGTTTGCGCAGCAGGAGGAGTTCGACTGCCATGGGCGGGTGAGGTCGATGAAGACGTACGTGCTTCCGGTGAGACTTGCATGG